ACATCAATGCATCTTTAAACTTGTTGAGAACCAGACTCACCAAGCTGATTACTCTCTCCATATTTTTCTGATACTGAATTGAACTCTAAATGAAGATAATGTACTACTGTATCTGGGTGGGTCTGTGCCGTGGAGAAAATCCAATTAACTGTTTTACCGAGTCATCGAAAACAACGACTTAAGAGATAAACTAGCAACCTAGCTACTTAACAAATCTACATAAAAGCTTATCCATTGCTAATGAATCTTATCCACCAAGAACTTTATTAATCTCGTCTCAACATTTTTTTAAGAAATAGACATCCTCAACATTTCACTTTAATTGCAAATCCTTGAAATGACGAGTTTGCCCTCCTGTTTAAATCGATTAAGCGACCTGTGTCGTTCTGTATCATGCCCATGATCTTGGTGATATTCACCGTATTTATTTCGATCTCTGCATTAGTGGCGGATGTAGATATTTTGAGTTAAGGAACACAATCAAACTTGAAAAACAGTTGTGAAAAAATTAAAGCATTCTATATCTTATTGCCTCAAAGATTAAAGAATTTCATATCTTGTCAAAAGCGGCAAATAAATTATTTGGACACAAACACGCAACACAAAGAAACAAATCACTATTTAACTCAATTTGAATCATTAAATTTCAATTTGTATCAATTGAGTTACAAGACATTAATTTGTTTCAAATTTCACCACTTTTTCGTATTTGCCCCTTGATGTAACCCAAATTGAAGGAAAATGATGTTGTGCATAATTGCATCTTGGAATGCCAATTCATTACTTGTCCACAAAAAGTATTATATTAAAATAAAAAATATAACTTGTCAAACAATATTTCTACCATTACCTAAAGATGATATGAAATGCTACAGAGCAAATTCATGAAAGATATGTTACACATGACTATCAACTAAGCAATTTTCGTAGATTTATGTTACAGAAGGATAATGTGACATAGATAGAGTACTTATTAGAAATTAAATTAAAGTTAAATGATCCAATTGTGACAAAGTAAAACTTAATAATCCAATTAAAATTTCCTTGGAAATTCAGTGAATGCAAATGAAATTCAGAAATGTTTTAATTAATCTGATTTTTTTTTTAAGAAAAACCTTTTGAAGTTTGTGAGTCACGTGACCCACTAGGACCTCCCTTGTCCACCATTGGTCTACATGACACAGGACCGAGCATTTTTCTAGCTACCTCGATTCCATCATGTTTCTGCTCTCTTAAAGGATTTGCGACTGAGGTATTGTAAGTGGAGTGTAGCTGTGTAGGTTATGATATGTATCATTTCACCTCGAGTTATTTAATTATAGTCTGGTTGTCCACGACTTCTTTCGTTTCAAGTGTGTGTCCGAGGCCATACGAATCCTGAGCCGCGCTCTGATGATCGCTCAAGTAGCCCTTACTCTTTCCACTATCGACTTATAGTAAGAAGCCTTAGTTGATGACACCAATGTTAGTTAAGAAATCAGTATCTTCACCACAACGTTTTGCTTATAAATGTGGTAATGTGAATCGTGTATTGGTTGTATGGATATCTGTCACGGCCAAAGGTACAGTTTTAAATTTTGTTAGAGTACAATATTCCATCTTATAGTTACATTTGAGGAGGTCAGATACAGCTAAGAATCGTGATAAATAATCGAATCAACATCAAGTTTTCATTATTTTAATAAAATATCGAGAAATGACTAATCAATACTCATTCATCCAATTGAATATAAAAAATGTATTTGAATCAAGATTTAAGAAATGAAATCATACACCAATATCTCATAAAATTCAACCAAAACAAAACCAAATAACAGATATTGTCTTGGCTAACCTGTCCTAATATGAAGACTAATACAAGTTGCACCTAAGTCTCTAATCTTCCAACGAAATATAAAATAAACTTCATAAATAAATAGTTCAAATAGTAATTGTGTAGAACCCGTTAAATGGACTGACGCGTGGCCAACAGAAAGCAACTTCACGTAGGTTCCTCCCTGCACACTTGTAACACACGTTAGTCGCTCATGATCTTTTCGGCGACAGTGGTAGTGGCCGCGAACACTCCGACGATCAAGTCAGTAAAATGATAAATGAAGATTGGGAATTTCGATGACGGGAACCGCCAGAATATGGATATCACTTATAATGTGGGGAGGAAACAATTAAGTTATGGAGTTGGAGTTGCATTACCTTTACAAAGGTACAAAGTATGAGTATTTATAGAGGAAGAGTAAGGATCGTTAGATGGAAGACACATTTCCTTATCTACCGGTCGACGCGTTTCTTCCTAGACGTCAATCAGTCACTCCATAAGTGGATGGCATTTAATACTTCCTAACAAAATAAATTCGACTTGGCATTTTGGCGCATGCTGCAAAAATATCACATCCATCATTCAAAAGATTTTATTTTGGACAGATCTTTGTACTGTGCATCGCGCTGAGGCGTTGCGACTCGTATCAATAGCCGTGTCTCCCAGCCATGTCACTTCATCATTATCTGTACCAACCCCGAATCTCTTCGACGACTAAGACACGTACATTATCATGTGGTATTCACCTCGGCTCATCGGATCCTCAACTATAAGGTGTGGTGACGTGGCTGTGACGTGGAATGCGGGTCTTGGTTTGACATAGGGACTCATTACTAGAACCGTAACGAACTGCATTGCATTCAAAATGTATCAAAATTGGGAGGTTACTAGATTTGGTAGTTCAAAATAAATAAATTATGGATCCCACACAATAATTGTAACTATCCTTCATTTACTTAAAAAATAGCTTTGAAGCATTGACCGATGAAGCACTCAATAGATGGCTTGGATTGGCCCGCATTATGCCTGCGTCACGCACCGGCGGGTGCTGAACTAGACCATCTATAAAATTATCTGAGCGCCTAGAGCAAACAATTTTCCAAATCTCTGAATTGGACGGCCTGCATACCTGCCAATATTACAGATTTCATGCCGATTTGTTATTTTTACTTTTTTTACTTTCTCAATATTTTATTAAATTCTACAACTAAGGCAGAATTTTTTTTCACCGTTAGTTTTATTATTTTCATTAAATAGCAATTAAGTCACCGTTTGTGG